TCAGAGTAGAGCTGACCTCAGTGACGTGGCTGAAGTAAAGCGTTCGGGACTTCCATTTGCTGGTGTGGCTTGACTCAAAATGGCAAGAAACAGCTGCAAACATCCATTAATAATCGGAACATGGAATGTACACAGTCTGAATCTAGGAAGATTGGAAGTTGTCAAAAATTAAATGGAACACAATAAAGATCAATATCCTAGGCATTAGTGATCTGAAATGGACTGTTTTTGGCCATTATGAATCAGACAACCATGTGATATACTGGGAATGACAAATTGAAGAGGAATGGTGTGGCATTCATCGTCACGAAGAATGTTTCAAGATCTATCCTGAAGTACAGTGCTTCCATACGCCTATAAGGAAGACCAGTTAATACTACTATTATTCAAATTTACACACCAACCACCAAAGCCAAAGAGGAGGAAATTGAAGATTTTTACCAAGGAAATGGGAAGCAGAGCTACCTCAGCCTCGAAGGGTAGGACCATGGCCTTTTGGGTGGAACCATCACAGCCTCCTAGGTTTCAAAGAGACCTTCACTAACTTGGTTCTGGAGTGTGGGGCTGCACGTTCATGTGGGCCAGTGGGATGCAGCCATAGCCACTGCCCAAGAGTGAGAGGGCAGGGCTGCCATACCCAAGAGGTAGAGAAATGGGGCCCACCAGGCCAAGGGGGTAAGGTCACCACTCAGGGGAACTAGGGGACTAGAGATACCCAGTGAAGATCTGTACAGGTGACAAGTTGACAAGGGGTGGAATTGTGGTAGTTAAGGTTGTGAATCAACTTGGCTGGGCCTGGTTGTGTGGCTGAGCAGATGGTGGCAGTTATTCCCCATGATGAGACTAGCAGTTAACTCCGTGGTGGGATCTACCACAAGCAGCTGAGTAGCTGCTTCAGGGATGTGGTCTGTTTCTTGTATATAAGCAGCAGCTTTGGGAATGGTCTCTAGCTTATGACACACTTGAACCCTGCATGTAGCCAAGTCATTGTTCAGCAGCCTGCCATGCTCTACTGATCTTGGGACTTTCAGTGGACTTGAATTAATGGCCTGCCATGTTGTTTGCTAATATTGGGATTGTGCCTTTTTCACTTGTCGACCTTGGGTTTGTCAACTTCAGCAGCCAGCAGCTGTCTGAGTGAAGAAAAGCCTGTAGCTTCAGTGGGCCGGAAACGAGGCAGAGCTAAAGCCCAAGGTTGAGGGGCTTTCACCCAGCCCCTAGACCCTGACACTTGGAACTCAGACTTCTAGCTTCCAAAAACTGTAAGAATAAACTCCTGTTTGTTAAAGGCTTCCTATTTGTGGTATATTCTTTGTCAGAGTAGCACTGGGTAACCAAAACACCAAGCCATGGTATTTTCAGTTGCCAGATAATGCATGTGAATAAGGAAGACCAAAGAAGAGCTGATGCTTTTGAGCTGTGGTGCTGGCAAAGAATACTGAGGGTACCATGGACTGCCAAAAGAACTAACATCTGTTCTGGAAGAAGTACACCTGGAATGCTCCTTGGAAGCAAGAATGGCCAGACTTCGTCTCACCTTTGGTCATGTTGTCAGAAGGGACCATTCCTTGGAGAGGGATGTCATGCTTGGTAAAGTAGAGGGGCAATGAAAAAGAGGAAGGCCCTCAAGGAGATGGATTGACACAGTGGCTGCATTGATGGGCTCAGGTATAGAAAGGATTGTGAGGCTGGCACAGTACTGGGCAGTGTTTCCTTCTGCTGTGCATAGGGTCGCTATGAGTCACAGTCGACTTGGCAGCACCTAACAACAACAGTGCTAGAGCACTTTTCTTCCAGGTCCCACTTCGATGGCTGTAAAAACCGTAACTTCAGCTCTTCTAGTTCTTTCTCTTGCTCTAAATTTGGCCAAGGACTTTAGTCATGTTGCTTAGGCCAGGTCCGGGGTCCCCAGCAGGGAAAGCCCTTGCTGCTCACGGCCACTCTCTGACCCTGCAGATGTCCTTTGGCCTGCTCCGGGTGTTCTCCATTGTGATCCCCTTCCTCTACGTGGGGACGCTCATTAGCAAGAACTTTGCCGCTCTGCTTGAGGAGCATGACATTTTTGTCCCAGAGGATGACGACGACGACGATTGAACAGGTAAGAGTTGCGTTTACCCTGGATGGACCAGGAGCAGGAAGGGGGGTGGAGCGTCTGAACTGTGACCCAGTGCAGCCTGGCACAGGACCCTGGGAACAGGGCTCAGACCATCAGTGAATTGACCCATTTGGTGGCTAGTGTTTTATTTTCCCTTTTCTCTCTATTGGAGGCAGGAAACAGTCTTACAAATTCCGTGGGGCTCTTCCAACTAGGTCGGGATCCCAGCCAGCATCTTCAGCTGCCCTTGATAATGTCCTCCTCCTCTCAGCCCACACATTTCCTTGACAGCGTAATGTCCCTTACACAGCACCACAAACGGCTTCATTCCAGCAGTTGCACACTGACAGTGAGAAACTGCCAAGTCCTTACCACTGCCAGGCCCAGTACCAAGCTCTGCACCAGTCCTGCCCTTCCCCCAGGAGCCAGCCTCTCCCACTGGGCTTTCCCGTTCTGTCTTCCTGTGATGTTAGTATGTGCTGCAGGCCTGCTGCCAAATTTCTTCATTACTGGCTCAGGAAAGGATCCTCCTGACTCCTTGGCCTGGCATTCAAGGCTTGCCATGTTCTGGCCATACCTGTTGTCCCATATTCCCAAGCACATACCTATGCCCAGTTCCCCATTTCTCCAGTCATCCACACTCTGACCCACCCCATGCATTGGCTCATTGTTCCTCCCACTTGGAAGGCTCTTTTCCACTGCTTTTCTTATTGCCAGCCATTCTCCAAGGCCCAACTCCAATGCCTGCTTTCTCTGATGAAGTCTCCTTGAGACTCCATTTGAAGGTGATTGCTCTTTCCTGAGTGACCATTACCGCTTGTGACACTTGTTCCTGTGTGCTTTAAAATACACACACACACACACACACTCTCTCTCTCTCTCTCTGTCTCTCTCAAGCACTACTAATCTGTGAGCCTCTTGCTGGCAGGGAACACATGCCTTTGCAATGGGACCCCAGTGCCTTGCCTGCAGTGAATGCTGGGTGACAGTGTGAATGAGTAATGGAGTGCCACACATGGTAGAACCACTCTCTGGAGTTCTGTTGGTTTGCGTGGGAGGACCGCGGGGGCAGGACCACTTGGTTGCCCAGTTCATTGCTGCTCCTCTTTCTTACAGGGCATGGAGGAAGTACAGAAAGGAGAAAACATTAACTCTATTAAGCAGTGCTGCTACTCTCAGCCTCTCCTCCCGCCCTCATCCTCCCTTGCTCCACAAAGCCTCCTGCATGGTTCCTGGCATCACCCAGATCCCAGGCTCTGGGAGGTTCCCCATGGAGTGCCATCCACTGATCACCAGGAAACGAGTGATCCAATTATGAATAAATAGAATAAAGGACAGCTTCATGTGACTGAGTAACAGGCACTCCGAGTGTTTCTGCAGCTGCCCTCTTAGCATGAGCAGGCTCGGGGGGGCAGCTCTGGTCCCGCTGTCCTGTCTCTGAACAGCTCAACATAATGGGCCACGATTTACAAGCCAAGGTCTCCAGACCCTTACGGGTGGGACCCACCGAGGTCATTCTGGGGCCCGGGACCTCTTTTCTGTATTTACAGAAACCCCACAGAAATGGTTTCTTTCCCCCGGTCACTGCACAGGCTGGCTGAAGCCTCATGCTTTCCTTGTGCTCACTGACACAGCTGGTTACCATGCCAGCCATGCAGAGCTTGAATCGCTAGCTGAGAACTGCTCAAGGAGTGTCGTTACTATAGCACACTGAGTCTTTCCAAACTTGGGTTCCGTAGGGTAAGGACAGTAAAAGGAGACCCTGGTGCTGAAAAGCAGGGCGACTGTACCTCAGATCCCAAGCCCCTTTCTCCAGCACTGGGACTGTCCGGGGAAGGAGCAGAGGTGGCTCAGCCAGTGCCGACAGGCCATGTCTTTAGCCTGAGTCGACAGACACTTACGTTCCTGTCACTAGCCCCGAGTCTGCAAAAGCAGCAGGAATATTCCACTCTCCGTGTGCCCAGACAGCTGTGTCCCCAGCAGGGCACCTAGCTGAGTGGGAAGCAAATATCATTTTAAGGACTGGTACCTGTCACAAGTAGAGGGGCCAGGCCTCTGAGCAGCCATTTTCCTCAGAGCCCAGGGAAAACAGCCCCACTACTCAGCTCTGCTTTGGTGCCTCCTGGCGCTGCCTGATCCATCTCTGACAGCGAGAGCTGACTGATTTTGGACAATCTGTGCCCTGATACCAAGCTGTCTAATCCTGGAGGCTGTGGAGACACAGCTAGGTTAACCAAGTCATCCAGCCTCATACCCAGTATGGCAAGTTTCTGAGCACATGGCCTCATCCTTTCCAGTTTACTGACACACAAGGCTCTGAGAAAAAGAATCCACTCTAGTTTACAGGAAACACCACACTTCAGGGGAGGGGAAGGGCAGGTGGTGTGGACACTGAGAGCCCACTCGTTCAGGCAACAGGTGAGAGACACGGCAGAAACAGAACTTCCCATTGGTTCACCAACGGAATTCTGTCAGGAGCTGACCGTCATAGACTAGTAGTTTATTCAATAGCGAAACAGCACATGCACCTTTCACTGAGTCATGTCATGGGTCGTGGCCAACATAGAACTTCGACAGGAAATCTTTTGGCCGTGGTGCTTCTGTTTCATGGAAGAACCGCAAAACATGTGTCCGCTGCTTCCATACCTTGATCGTTTCCTCCAGTTCCATCTTTCCCTGCACAAGTGAGGGGAGAGGTCTTAAGTCAAAGTTGTCGAGTGGAAGGAATGCAACACGCGAGGCCAGATTCTGTTCTCGGCTCTGACACTGACTTCGGGCAAGTCAACATTGTCTAGACAACGATTTCTGCATCCAGAAAAGGAGCTGATGCGACTGAATGTCTCGGGGCTTTACAGATACTGTTCACCTCTGGCTAACCGGCCCCCAAGAGGAGAGTTTCCAGGTCAGTAGACCTCCACCCGCCGGCCTAGCTTGACTGGCTTGTTTGTGCCCAGTATTTCTCCCATGTTATTTACTGGTCCACACTGAAGGTCCCACCAGTGCTAATGGACTGGCCAGGAAGATGGCATCAGGCCCAGTTTTGGCTCCGTGTACACAGGACTGATCGCCAACCTGTCTGCCTCTCCTAGCAGTAAGCTGGTGCCCAAAGGAAGCAGTAACTTCTAAGAACAAGAACCTCCAAGAGGTTGAGTTTCCTCCTTGTGTCTGTTTTTTGGTTATAAAATGCAAACCCCAGTGGTTTTTCCCTTGAACACCCTTAAAATCCGTTCAACTAGATGACAGCCTCCAAATTCAGTGGTTCCTGTGATGCACCAAGCAACAGTTGCTGATCCAGCAGTTGCTTTTTAAACCTGGAGACAAAATGTTCACCTGGGAAGACTGCTAAGCCCTGGACAAGCTGGCTATGTTTTTGGTAAGGAAGGGCCAGTTACCTTGATGACCAGAAGATCAACCACCCTGGGGTCTGTGACATGGGCATTCTTCGTGAACATTTCTCGGACTTTGTCCCGTCCCTGTTTCACAGTGATGTCTAGCTGGAATAAGTGCACTAGAGAGAAAACATGATTCAGGGTAGAAGTTACATGTGAAAGCACATCTTTAGAAAACGTCAGTGGGTGTCCACGGACCACGTACAGGCTGCCTCTACGTCCCAGTTACCCAATCACTGTCGGCCTCAGTGATTCCATGTTGTTTGGGGTCAAGACCACGGCAGTTGATGCACAACACACAGCACAATGGTGGCATCACCAGCATAGGGGCCAGTCAGTCAAAGTAGATGACGGGACTGAAACGAATGCAGAATGATGGGTGGAAGCTGTAAGCATCATCAGAACTTGGAGTTGAGGGAGACTGCTGAGGACTAGTATGGGTCGGGAAGGCTTCAACCCAACAAACAGTTAACAGCACGTTTGGTCACTTGGGGAAGGAGAGAGATGTGTAAGATGTAACTCCCGTTTGCTAGGTCTTAAGTTCTAATGAAAGGCCACCCATCCGTGAAAGAGAAGATAGTCAGAGCATGCAGCGATCCATCCTTAAGGACATGTCGAAACATGGCACAGACTCAGGGACCTGGGACTTCAGATGAGGCACAGGGTGTCCTTTGAAAATTAGGCTTTTTGTTCCTTGTATTCCCATCCCCTGCCACTGTCAGCCTTCAGCAGCTGTGATGACAACAGTGGCAGGAACAGGGCCTTGTGTAGTGAGTGGAACGTGGAGAGGGAGGGAGGACTGCACAGGCGAGGCTCAGAGGTCAGGATGGGTGTCACGGCTGAGCACCGGCCCAGTGAGGACACCTTGGGCCATGGCCATTCCTGTGACGTGTCCTCTAGGCTACAATCAGATCAGCTCTGCAAACCATGACAGCCGTTTAGGGACTGAATTAATCAACAGTAAAATCTGAATCTTTAATTATACACATAACATGAGGACAGTGACAGGAAAAGAAAACTTCTGCTGAGAACAAGCCCATGCCATGTTGCAAAGGAGACATTGCCTGAGCCAGGCAGGGAATGAACAGTAGCACGAGTCCCCTAGGACTCACCCAGGGTTACAGGGGAGTGGGCACCAGAGACAATCACCCGGAAAGCCGGCTGTGCCCAGCTGTTCACAGGTGATTCATTCTGGTAGCACCCATCACCCGTGGTGGGGTGTTAACCCCACGGAAACCAGCAAACACCACCAACCTCAGTTTCCTGCCAGAGCCGATGATTCAACACCATGGCTGGGGTATTAGGAATTTCAGAAAAGAATTTAATAATTAAAAAAAAAAAAAAGACAGGAAGAAGACAAAAATACAAAAACAAATACAAGCTTGTTCTACACTTTGAGTTTTCATTTCATTTCACTGAGGGATTTAATTAGTTGAATTCTAAGATTCTTTTCACATTTAATATGATACAATTTAACATCAGAGTCTTGGAACCATTTGGGATGGGATGTGTATCATAAATTAACCACGCAGGAAGAGGTCTGCTCACTGTCATTGCAGCCTCGTGGGAAAAAAAAAAAGAAGTGCTTTTTTCAGTGCAAAAGACTCACATAGGGACCCCTTCTAGTCCTTACACTGAAGTCTCTCAACAAGGGGGACGGATGGGATCAGGGAGGTTTGGCCCCTAAAACTAAAACAAATTAGACCAGGTGCCGTGGAGTTGAGTCCAACTCACAGGGTTTTCAGGGCTGGAGCTTTGCAGAAGCAAATCTCCAGGTCTTTCTTCCCAGGGACCTATGAATTAGTCTGAATCGCCAAGCTTCTGGTTTGTTGGGTGTGGTTTTCGTGTGTCCCCAATGTTGGGAGACCAACCAGCGTTTCGTGGGCAGGGGCCAGGGGTGCTACATTTCCTGGAACATATGGGACAGCCACACACAACAGATATCATTTGGTGAATGTTTATTTCCCACTAAACACTCACGTGAGTTTAAAATTTGCTTAGAATTTTCTGAGCCTAGAACCTAATCCATCTTAAATACTAACATGAGGCATTTTTTAAAACTATTTTAACAAACTGGATTTTCCATAAATGTAACCACCATGTAAACTGACTGAACATCGTATTTTGTTATAATTAGTAATTTACCAAGAATAAAAGATTTTTGAGAAAATTACATCAAAAAGAAAAAAAACCCTACAAACTAACAGGGAGCCTGGAATTTAGATTCTGACCACTGGGGTAGAGCGAGGCCTAGAGCACAGCTGGGACTTGTCTAAACTCAGACAACTGGTCCCCAGCAACGTGGGCCTAGAATCTAAGTTGTTTGTTTTTAACTTACAGTCTAGTGCTCTTGAGAATAACAACAACAACAAAAAAACTCAAACTCACTGCCATCGAGTCGATTCTGACTCACAGTGACCCCCGCTGGGTTTCCAAGGCAGTAAATCTATAGAAGTAGACTGCTCCATCTTCCGTCCATGGAGTGGCTGGTGGGTTTGAACTACTAACCTTCTGGTTAGCAGTCAAATGCACTGCACCACCAAAGCTCCTTCTTTTAAGGATCTGAAAAAACCAAACTCACTGCCATCAGGTCAATTCCAACTCATAGCACCCCCGCCTGGGTTTCTGAGGCTATAAATCTTTACTGACTACCCCAGCTTCCTTCTGCGGAGTGGCTGGTGGGTTTGAACCACTGACCTTCTGGTTAGCAGCCAAATACCTTATCCACTACACCACCAGAGCTCCTTCCTTTTAAGGATAGGGATTTGGAATAAAAAACAACTATGCCTGCTATCAGTACTCGCCTCTGCTCCATTTTCATATTAGATTCCTGTCCAACTTGGGGAGAAAACCCACGGTGCCTCTGGGCACACCTGTGTGGGAGCCATAGGGCACCCGGCATCAGCACTTCCAAATGCCTGCCAGTCTCCTGAACTCTTCTGTGGGAATCTCAAGAAAATGTTCCCACACACAAATGCAAGGTCCGCTTGTCAACTTCAGGAGGTACAGATCCAGGTAGGCGCACACTCCCAGGAAAGGACCCTTTCTCTAGAGACAGGCCTGCAGCTTCCGCCTAGGCTGCTTCTTCCCACATCTCATCCCCTGAGCACACCCCTCCACCAGTGAGGAAGGCAGCAGGGAGGCAGACAGCCACAGCCTGGGCTCTAGCCTGCAGAATCGTTCCCTGGTCTAAATCGGTTGGGCCCCTGCTCACTTTAGCAGCACGTGTATGGGACCCATACAGAGATTAGCGTGGTCCCTAGGTGAGGATGACATGCAAATTCATGAAGGTTCCAAGTCAGTGGTTCTCCAACCAGGGATGAGCTTGCTCCTCAGGGGACACTGCAACGCCCAGAGACATTTGGAGTTGTCACTGCTAGAGTGCTTCCCACATCTACTGGGATGTTGCTAAATACCCTACAACACACAGGTGACAGCTCAACAAAGAATTACCTGACCCACAATGCCACTGTTGAGAAACCCTGGTTCAAATCACTTCCAATTGTCTTTTCTCAACTCACAGAATCCTGGCTTATTCTTTGAAGGCTGAGTATTTAAATTTCTATTTGAGACCCTAGGCGCTAGGCAAAAAACTAGGAGGTGTAACAGAAGCACTGAAGACATAATTAGGCCAGTTAACTGGGCTGTCCTGTGAAACCATGGCCCGAAGCTGCTTGCAAGCTGTTGTCCAAGGTACGACAATGTGACTACCTGTCTGAAGCAAAAGAGAAAGAAAGAGATTCAGGGACAGATGGAGGATCTGGAATGTGTGACTCATTGCCTCCACAAACAACTGCCTCCTTTGTCATGAGACCAGAAGAACTGGATGGTGCCCGGCTACCATTACTGAACATTTTGATCAAAGACTCCATACAAGGATCCTGATCAAAAGGGGGAAAATGCAGAACAATTTCAAATTCTCACAAAGTCGACTTTGAGGCTAGGTGAACCCCTGAAACAACTGCCTTGAGATAATCATTAAACTTCAAACCAAAAATAACCCTGAAGTCTTCCTGAAACACAACAGTTGGACTTAAGTAGTAAAGAAGTCCACCTTGAGCACTGTGCCCTTTAAGAATTATCTGTGTGGGATCAAAGTGACTACAGCACCTCAAGATTATACAGAGCCCTTTGGGGCCAGTGAGTTTACATTAATGAGGGAGGAACAGCTCAGAAAAAGAGGGTGAGGATGGGTGTAGTCAGCGTCAGTGGACTGTCCATGTGTGGACAGTTGAATTATGGGTGTCCTGCTGGTATATCTCAGCAACAACAAAAACTACTGTTCAAAAAAATTCTATTTGAAAAAACTGAGAGGCTCAGAAGAAAAATAAGGAAGTGCCCTTTTGGATGAAATGGTATTCCACTCTCTCCGTACTTTCTCAACATAAATTAAGGTTTCCTGAGTCGGGAAGGCATGGAAAGGCCAGGAAGACAATGACAGGGTTCTCAGCTGTCTGCTCCGGTTCATCTGGGTGGCAGCATTCACACCAGGCCCTGGGAGAGCCTTCGCCGGAAGGCAGCATGGGGCAGTGGAAAGGGGCACGGGCTGAGGGGCCACAGCGACTGGGTAAGGTCTCTATGCCACTAGGAACCCATCTGGGACACACCCTGCCTATCTTATCTGGAAAGACTGGAGAGAACATAGCCACTGTCTGACCTGCCTCCTGTACAAGGATGTGGTGAGAACGAGGTGACAGCCCTGGTAAATGGCAGCGGTTAAATTTTCAGTAGCGCCTCACACTGTGGCTTGATGCCTATATCCCTGTTTAGACCATATGCCGATCACACAACTTTGCTTGCTGAAAGTGAAGAGGATTTGAAACACTTATTGATGAAGATCAAACACTACAGTCTGCAGTTTGGATCACACCTCAACATAAAGAAAATAAAAATCCTCACAAGTGGACCAGTAAGCAACATCATGATAAATGGGGAAAAGATTGAAGTTGTCAGGGATTTCATTTTATTTAGATCCACAGTCAACACCCATGGAAGCAGCCATCAAGACATCAAATGACTTATTACACTGGGCAAATGTGCTGCAGAAGACCTCTTCAAAGTGTTAATGAGCACAGATGTCACTTTGAGGACTAAGGTGCACCTGATCCAAACCGTGGTATTTTCAGTCACCTCATATGCACGTGAGAGCTGGACAGTAAGTAAGGGAGACCAAAGAACTGCTGCATGTGAACCATGGTATTGGCAAAGAATACAGAATATACCACAGACTGCCAGCAGACTGTTTGAGAAGCGCAGCCAGAATGCTCCTTAGAAGCAAGGAAGACGAGACTTCATCTGTCCTACTCTGGACATGTTAGCAGGAGGGACCGGTCCATGGAGGATGGCATGCTGGGTAAAGCAGAGGGTCAGTGAAAAACGGGAAGGCCCTCAATGAGACGGACTGACACAGTGGCTGCAACAGTGGGCTCAGACACGGCAGTGAGTGTGGGGACGGCGCAGGGCAGGGCGTCGCTTTGTTGTCCGTGGGGTCGATGTGAGTCAGCGGCCACTCAAGGGCACAACAAGGGACCATAAAATCCTTAAAGGCAAGGACATGGCATTTACACTTTTGTATCCTACTACGCATTTAGTGGGAGCTCTGGTGGCGTAGTGCCTAAGGCACTTGACTGCTAACCAGAAGGCTGGAGGTTCAAACCCACCAGCCACTCCTCAGAAGGAAGGTTGAACAATCTACTTCCGTAGAAATACTGCCTTGGAAACCCAAGGAGGGGTCGCTATGAGTCGGGTCCGACTCGACAGCACATAACAACAACAACAGGCATCTAGTAGGAGCTCTGGTGGCGTAGTGCCTAAGGCATCTGACTGCTAACCAGAAGGCTGGCAGTTCAATCCCACCAGCCACTCCTCGGAAGAAAGACTGGGCAATCTACTTCCGTAGTGATACCGCCTTGGAAACCCAAGGGGTTGCTGAGTCAGATCCGACTCGATGGCATTGAGTTTGGTTTTTGTTGGAGGCATCTAGTACTGACTCCCACACGAGGTTCGCAGGGAAATGGAAACAAAGCAGGATGAACAGGCTTCTGTTATCTGGTGGCCAGCGAGCGGCAGGTACCAGAGTGCCCAAGGAGGACCTCCACCAGACGGCGTTCTGCTCCACAGACTGCTGCGGAACCGGGTGCGAGAGAGTCACGGAGGCAGCGTGGGAACTGAGAGGCAGATGCTAGAGCTGGACAGTCCGGGTCTAACGTCTGGCTCTTCTGCACTCTAGCCGTGTGACCTGAGACAAGTTTATGTGCCTCAGTTTCCTCATCTGTAAGATGCAAACAATCAGTGTGCACCCTACAAAAAGGCAATGTAAAGCAATTAGTGTGGTGCTGGGCTGTAAGAGAGCATTTCAATAAACATTATCTTCAACACTAAGGAGCTCTGATGGCGTAGTGCCTAAGGCATTTGACCACTAACCAGAATGCTGGTGGTTCAGTCCCACCAGCCACACCGCAGAAGGGAAACTAGGCAATCAACTTCTGTAAACACTTACTGCCTCAGAAACCCAAAGGGGGTCGCTGTGAGTCGGAATCAACTCGATGCAGTGTGTTTGGTTTTCATCAACACTATCTATGACTTTTTAGCAACCCTTGCTTCGGTTCCTCAACTACAGTCCCAGTGATGGACAGCAGGAGACCAGTACAGCCACAGGCCTGACAGCTGACCAGCGGCAGACCACCAGTCCTCCCCATAAAGGTTCACCACCCCCAGGCCCCTTCCACCCCTTGCTCTCTAGGCTCCTGTAATCCCCGGCCTTCCCTTCTTCCTCTCAGGACCTTCTGATTGGGATTTTCCTCCCAAACAGTATTTTAGGGAAGGTCCTGGGAGTGAAAGAGGGGATGGTTTAGAAACAGCTGGATGCTGAGTGTCAGGATACCTGGCTTCTAGCCCCAGTTCAGTCATTTTGACCCTGGGCAAACCAGCCTTCATGAATCTGACCTTGCTCACCCCCATACCTCCCTGAAACACAAGAGTTCTGGGCACTGAGAAATACTCTGCCAGGTGAACATTATGTTTTTAAACACCTGCATTTGAATGCAACCCCCCCCCTCAAAAAAAACTATTATTCACCTGTCCCCTGAAGCCATTTGCACTTGCAGCCCCGGAACCAGCAGATCACTCAAGTTCCCCTGTCCCTTGTATACTATAGATTTCAGTGGTGGTCATCAGCAACCTTAGGACTCTGTGGAGCAGACACAGTCCCCACACATCTAAGATGGGTTTGCAGGGAGGCCCCTGCTAGGGCAACCCTGTAATATACAACCAGACAACACTGAATGAACGCTGAGTTAAGTGCCCAGCCCTGCTCTAATCAGAATATTAAGCTATTTAATTCGGTTACTCTCTGAAGCTAGAGGAAAGGAGGCATGGAGAGATGAAACACCTTGCCCAAGGTCACACAGGAGGTCAGGGGTAGAGCCTGGAGGCAAGTCTGGTTCCTGACCACCACATCCTACTGCCTCTCACACACAGATAAGGAGGTGGCAGCCTCCCTCCCAGATTGGTAGGGAAAGCCCGTCTGAAAACACATGAATCAAATAAAATACTGACAGTCCCTGACATCTGTCCTGGCAGTTTAAATAGCAACTTTTCTCTTATCAAGTACACTGGGCAGCACTGAGGGGGGCAGACGTTAAGACACACCAGGCCTACTGACTGGTTCAGACACTGAAGTGAAGGCGGGGCTTGAGGTACAAGGGGGCAGTCCAGGAGAAGGGGTGTGTGTGGGAGGGCAGCAGGGCGTAGGAAGAGTTCCCAAAGAATGTAAGTAGCGAGGAGACCTAGGTAAGGAGCCCTGATGGCACACTGGTTAAGGGTTCGGCTGCTAAGCAAAAGCTGGGTGGTTCGAACCCCCCAGCAGCTGCTCCACGGGAGAACGACGTGGCAGTCTGCTTCCGTATAAACAAGGGCCTTGGAAGCCTTATGGGGCAGTTCTACTCTGTCCTATACGGTGGCTATGAGTTGGAATCGACTTGTCAACACACAACAGCAGCCAGGGAGCAAGGTCTGGCAGACTGGGGACTGGAGGGCCCGGAACGCCACCACTGCCTTGCTGAACGAGCTCGGGAAAGTCACTTCCCGTCTCTGGCTCTGATTCTTTCCCTGGGAGCCGTGAAGGAAGCCAGCTCCGACAGCCACTGCGGTTATGCAAGCTCAAGAACCCTGCAAGTGTGTACTGGGATTCTGGAGTTGACTTTGCGCTCCAAATCCACGACAGGCTACGTCTGCACGCTGGGCGCGTCACTCCGCCTCCCGGGAAGCATCACCTTTGTAGCGGGCATCTCACTGACCGTTCCTGCCCTGCCTCCCAGGAGCGCTGTTATGAATTACCGAGGCCAGAAGAGAACAAACCACTGAGAGTGCCTAAAAGCGCCGGACGGAAGCCGAGCACGGCTGGTCTGATTGCGGCGCTATTGCAGGTCGAGTCCCCCATAAGCTTAGGTGATCCTCCTTCCCTGAGGCACCCCGGTTTCGCCCCTGCCCAAATTGGTGACCTCAGCTTCGCCCGTGAGAAATCAGAGGCCCGAGCGCCTACGACCTTGGGCAGCCGCCTTCAGGGCCCCGCGTGAGCCGATGCTTCTCACCAGTGTTCGGCACCTCCCGATACCAGGCACGGTAGAGTTCGCGCACCCTGCGTTTGGCCTCGTTCAGGTCCCGGCTGAAGATGGGTTTCACCGCGGTGCTGGCCGCAGCGGCGGCCCGCTGAACGCCGCTCGCCGCCATCTTGCTAAAGAAATGACCTCCTCAAACCCGCCCCTTTTCGACCCGGAGGGCGGACGAAGGGCAATAATCTTTTCTCATTGGCTAAAATTTATCACCACACCCCTAAATTCACGGGTAGGCGGGAGGGAGGAGTGCTCTGGGCTCTCTGATTGGCTAGAAAGCCTCGCTCTGGACCGGAAGGAACGGAGGGGTTAGGGATGCTCACGTTCACCCGCAGAATGATGGCTCCTCCGTTGTACTTCCTAACCGTCACCACGAGTTGCCGCCGCCGCCAGGGGGAGCGCGAGCCCCAAGTTAACTGCCGGAGGGCGGCGCCACTGGGCCGTGAGCAACTCCGCGGCCTCCGCCGCGTCCGGAGGCCGAGCTGCTCTAGTTCGCTGTTGGGGAGCGGTCATGGGTTCTCAGGCTTTGAAGAGCTTCCTCCGTCATCTTCCCGGGACCAAACCGCGGGCCCTGAGGCGGCGACTGAGGCAATAATGACGCCTCGGCGGCCTTTCTGCCACGTTAGTTTTTATAAACTTGCTCTTTGGTAAAGAGCTCTGGTAGCATAGTGCCTAAGGTACTTGACTGCTAACCAGAAGACTGGCGGTTCAAACCCCCCAGCCACTCCTCAGAAGGAAGGTTGGGCAATCTACTTCCGTAGTGATACCGCGTCGGAAACCGAGTCCATGGCACATAACAACAACAACAAGGTGTTTGGTAGCTCGGAGCAGATGTCAAAGCGCCTTTCTGGCCTTTATCTCCTTGCCCTTCCTCACAGCCATGGGAGGTAGGGTGTATCATAAGCCCCATTTTGGATAAGGACGTTTTCATCCCAAACCCTCTGTCTCCGTGAAAGACAATCCAGAACTTTGGAGGTGAAACAGGCTTCGATCATCCGATCCGAGTATCCCTCCTTCTCCTGGCATTTGTCTGCAAAAGTTAGCACCTGACATCGCGGGGAGACTGGAACTGTAATGGAAAAAAGAACAGCTAACAATATACAGGTGTGAACTGTGTATTTTACATAGTCTCACATCACAAGTCGGGAGGTACTTTCGCATCCCCGTTTTGCAGGTGAGGAAATTGAAATGCAGAAACTAGGTCTAACGCGCCACATTAGGCTGCTTCCGCTGCCAGGGTCACAGACTTTTCCTAAAAATGCAGTTGACGAGCTCCTTGTGAGTGCAGCAGGGAAGTCAGCTCAGGGGCCGGTGTGGGACATGGCGCTGCATCTAGTCCAGGGTAAAAAAAAATGGGATGCCTTTCCCTCACTTGCTTTTGAAATGTGTTTTCACATTTAAATGAATTAGACAAAAGAAAGCATGTACATATATAAATTATAAAACATAATATTAAAGTGGAAACTTTTGAACCCCGGTATGCAACTTAATTGTAATGCAGTTAAGATTTTATGAAGTTTACCATGTTCCTGGTAGCCACTGTTTTAAGTTTCTTCTTGTTGTTGTTATGTGCTGTTGAGTCAGACCCAATTCATAGCGACTCCTCCTTGGGTTTCCAAGGCAGTATCACTACGGAAGTAGATTGCCCAATCTTCCTTCTGGGGAGTGGCTGGTGGGTTTGAACCGCCAGGCTTCTGGTTAGCAGTCAAGTGCCTTAGGCACTACACTCCTTAGGTACGTTAATTTATTTAAGCCTCAACACACCTGTGAATCAACTACTGTTATTATACCCATTTTGCAGATGAGAATATCGATACACAGAAATGAAATTACTTGACAGAGCCGCATTGAGACCCAGGCAGCTGGCTCCAGGGTCTGTGCTCTGCCTGACAGCGTGTGATACTTGTGTAATTCTAACCTGGGCCATAACCCTGCCAACCTCAGAGGAAACTGCTAGCTTGAATTTAGTGTGTAGCAATCCTTTGATTTCTAACAAAAAAATGGTCTCTAAAACAACCAATAAACTGGGAGAAAATATTTGCAAATCACATATCTGATAAGGGACTTTTATCTAGAATATATAACTTACAACTCAATAATCAAAAGACATATAGTCCAATTGAAAAGTAGGCAAAGGATTTGAGTAGATATCTCTCCAAAGAAGATAAAGAAATGCCCAGTAAGTACATGAAAAGACATTCAACATCATTAGTCACTAGGGGAAAAGTAGATCAAAACCTTAATGAGATACCATTTTTCACCCACTTGAATGGCTATTGCTGTTGCTGTTAGGTGCCATACAGTCATCTCCGACTCATAGAGACCCCATGCACAGCAGAATGAAACACCGCCCGGTCCTGCGTCAGCTCCGCGATACCTGCTATACTTGAGCCCATCACTGCTGTCACTGTGTCAATCCATCTCGTTGAGGGCCTTCCCCTCTTTTGTCAGCCCTCCACCTTACCAAGCATGACATCCTTCTCCAGAGAATGGTCCTTTCTGACAGCATGACCAAAGTATGTGAGATGAAGTCTGGCCATTCTTGCTTCCAAAGAGCATTCCAGCTGCATTTCCTCCAGGACAGATTTGTTACTCCTTTCAGCAGTCCACGGTACTCTCAACATTCTTCACCAACACAACTCAAAAGCATCGATTCTTCTTCGGACTTCCTTCATTGTCCAGCTCTCACATGCATATGAGGCAATTGAAAATACCCTATGGCTTGTGTCAAGTGTACATTAGCCCTCAAGGAGACATCTTTGCTCTTCAGCACTTAAAAGAGGTCCTTTGCAGCCAGTTTGCCCAGTGCAATACATCGTCTGATATCCTGACTGCTGCTTCCATTGGTGTCGATTGTAGAACCAAGCAATGTGAAGTCTTTGACAACTTCAATCTTTTCTCCGTTTATTGTGATGCTATTTATTGGTCCAGTTGTGAGAATTTTTGTTTTCTTTATATTGAGTTGTAATCCTTACCGCAGATTGTATTCTTCAACCTTCATCAGTAAGTGCCTCAAGTCATCCTAACTTTCAGCAAGCAAAGTTGTGTCATCAGCATATTGCAGGTTGTTAATGATTCTTCCTCCAATCCTGATCCCACGTTCTTCTTCATGTAGTCCAGCTTCTCAGATTATTTGCTCAGCACAGAAATTGAATAAGTATGGTGAAAGGACACAACCCTGATGCACTCCCTTCTTGATTTTAAACCATGCAGTGGCCCCTTGTTCTGTTTGAATGATAGCCTCCTGGTCTATGTACAGGTTCTTCATGAATACAATCAAGTGTTCTGGAATTCCCATTCTTCTCAGTGTTATCCACAATTTGTTATGATCCACACAATCAAATGCTTTTGCATAGTCAGTAAAACACAAGGAAACATCTTTCTGGTATTCTTTGCTTTGAGTCAAGATCCATCTGACATCTGCAATGATATCCCTCATTCCATGTCCTCTTCTAAATCCAGCTTGCACTTCTGGAAGTTCTATGTCAATATCTGCTGTAGCCATTTTTGAATTATCTTCAGTAAGATTTTACTTGCATGCAATATTAATGGTATTGTTTGATAATTTCCACATTCTGTGGGATTACCTTTCTTTGGAATGGGTACAGTTATGCATCTTTTCCAGTCAGTTGGCCAGGTAGCTGTCTTCCAAATTTCTTGGCATAGCCGAGTGAGTGCCTCCAGCAGGGTGGCCATTTGCTGAAACATCTCAATGGGTATTCCATCAATTCCTGAAGCCTTGTTCTTCGCCAGTTCCTTCAGTGCAGTTTTGACGTCTTCCTTCAATACCATTGGTTCTTGAACATATGCCACCTCCTGAAATGGGTGAAGATCGACCAGTTCTTTTTGGTACAGTGACTCTGTATTCCTTCCATTTTCTTTTGATGCTTCCTGCATCATTCAATATTTTGCCCATAGAATCTTTCAATATTGCAACTCGAGGCTTAAATTTTTTCCTCAGTTTTTTCAGCTTGAGAAATGCTGAGCATGTTCCTCCCTTTTGGTTTTCTAACTCCAGGTGTTTGCACATTTCATTATAGTAATTAGCTTTGTCTGCTCATTCTGCTCTTTGAAATCTTCAGTTCAGCTCTTTTATCTTGTCATTTCTTCCATTTGCTTTAGCTACTCTTCGCTCAAGGGGAAGTTTCCAAGTTTCTTCTAACATCCATTTTGGTCTTTTCTTTCTTTCTCGTATTTTTAATGACCCCTTGCTTTCTTCATGGATGATGTTCTTGATGTCATCCCGCAATTCTTCTGGTTTTCAGTCATTGGTGTTCAATGCATCAAATCTATTCTTTAGAAGGTCTCTAAATTCAGGAGGGATATATTCAAAATCATATTTTGGTTCTCATGGACTTGTTTTAAATTATCTTCAACTTCAAATTGAACTTGCATATGAGCAGTTGATGGTCTGTTCCACAATCAGCTCCTGGCCTGGTTTTGGCTGAAGATATTGAGATTTTCCATTGCCTCTTGCCATAGATGTAGTCAATCTGATTCCTGTATACTCCATCTGGTGAAGTCCACGTGTATAGCCACCATTTGTGATGTTGAAAAAAGGTATTTGCAATGAATAAGTCATTGGTCTTGCAAAATTCTATCATACGATCTCCAGCATTATTTCTGTCACCAAGGCCATATTTTCCAGCTACCGCTGATTCTTCTTTGTTTCCAACTTTTGCATTTCAGTCACCAGTGATAATTAACATACCTTGATTGCATGTTTGGTCAATTTCAGACTGCAGAAGTTGATAAAAATCTTCAATTTCTTCATCTTTGGCTTTGGTGGTTGGTGTGTAAATTTGTATAATAGTAGCATTAACTGATCTCCCTTGTAGGCATATGGATATTATCCTATCACTGACAGTGCTGTACTTCAGAACAGATTTTGAAACATCCTTTGCCATGATGAATGCCACACCATTCCTCTTCAAATCGTCATTCCCAGCATAGTAGATCATATGTTGTCTGATTCAAAATGGCGAAAACCAGTCCATTTCAGCTCACTATTGCCTAGGATATTCATCTTTATGCATTCCATTTCATTTTTGACAACTTCCCATCTTCCTAGATTCAGTCTTCGTACATTCCATGTTCTGATTATTAATGGATGTTTGCAGCT